CCTTTAACTCGCTAATTAAAGCCCGATGATTTTGCGGTTAACGATAGTTGCCACTCTGCCCTCGCCCATCTCCGTCTCCTCCTCTAAGAGATGCCATTTGTCTCACCTCAGCATCACTCTCCTTGGCACTACCAATTGGGTTTGACAGTGAAATCACATTTCAGATCATAAATCAAATGTCAGCCTGCAGGACAGACTTGGCAGCAGATGACAAAATGATTTGGACCCGGGGCTACTCCGAAAGCTTTTATTTCCCACCCGTGGAGCTCGTACTGTCGGCATGAGGATTCAGGGCGGCACGAGGATTCATGTAGGGGGGTGTTGGGAATTATGGTATGCTAGGCTCATGACCTTGTCTCAGGACACGGGCTATGTTTCCGAACACATAGACACAAACAGTAATCTGGACCTCCTACACTGCTGAATAAACCATCAAGAACCAAAAGTACACCTAAATACAAGTATTGTAAAACTGCATTTAATAACCCAGGCTCTTATTTGTTTCAATCACGGAACTCAAGAGTCATTAATTACGGAAAGGTGTCTTTATGGGAAACCTTCAATTCATTTCCTACTAAACTTTTGCTCAGAAAAGACACTTTTTTATTTGAACCAGTAAGAATAATACTTATACAAGAATAAGGCTATTGAAGAACCTATGGATTACTAATCATTTATTGTATCTATCTCTGATACAATTAATGCACCCAAAAATGTGCAGCACCAGAAAATGACGCAATGCTTATTTGTATCCTCCTAAAACCTACCTGCCGGCTAGCAGCAAGCCATGTAAGCATTGTGGAAAGGAAAACGGGATACATCTCAATAGAGAAAAGTGGAGATAGTTTATTTGTAGCCAGCAAGGTAACGAAAACAAGCATACCCAACTACACAGTTCATGAGGAAGAGAAAATATTGTTTATGTCAGTTAAAGTGCAGTTTTTGGTAAATTAACAAAGTTAGACATAGAGCAATGAACTTCCCATGACATTGTTCACATCTGATTTATAAAATACCATTTTGATTTTTTTGTATTGGTTGTCCTCTACACATATATGAACTTCATGGCCTCTTCAAAGGTACAGAGTAACCATTTGTTGTCTCTCTTGTTTACCATTCTGGCCAATCTGGTGATCATGGTTATCACGGTACGATTGAATTGTGTAGAATAAAATCAATGTGAAATGTCAAATGAAGAACTGCGTTGCCTTATTTTATTTTTTTAAGTTTGACAGCATTCTGGACATTTTCTTTTCTGTCACAATATGGGTGTCAGGAGAGTAAGAGAAGGTTGAAGGGAGGCGGTGTGGGGGGGACACTGCGGTAGAACAGGGAACAATAGGCGCCCTCTGGCATCAACCTCTGGACAGCCCAAGCTGCTCACCAAAGACACTGACTCACCCACAATGAACCGCTGCAGTAGGAAGGGAGGCTTTAGAGAGTTCAATTTCCAACACAATTGGCCGTATTCTACTCCTTTAAATGCCAGGGAGATGGTGTGCGGCGTGCGCCTTTGTGAGGGGCTTTGCTTACAGCGAGTGTCCTCTAGCAGGAGGGACAGAGAGGGGAAAATGGAGCGATGGCGAAGACAGGCAGGGTGGTGCGGGGACAGAAATAGTTAGACTGTGTAAATGAAAAGGAGGAAAAGAATAAGACTGAATGACTGGGCGAGATAAAAAAAAGAAAGAAAAAAGTGGCGAGCGAAACGAGAAGGGTAGAGACGGTCTCCTCTGACTGTCGTTTGGCCGGCCTCGCAGGGACCGTCTGAAGGACAATGCTGCTACTAGTGGAGTGTGACGTTTGTCCTCTATCCAATTCACCACAGCCCCAAAGAAAACCCACTTACAATCAAGTGTCGATCATGCATCTCATACACAATAAAGTCTTCCAAACAAAATACAATGCATTATCGTAATATACAATACAGCCTCTGTGCAAGAAAAAAAGAAAAAGGAAAGCTTAATGGGAAAAATAAGAAGGCACTGAGATAACATTCAAATGAGGTGATGTGGAAGTCATTGTGCGCCACAGCAGGCCTAACTGGAGATCACATTTAACTGCTGTGCATTTTATACCCACTTCTTTATCTCTGTAAAGATACATTTCCTTTTTCATGTTTTAATTGTACATCCCTCTTTATTATCCTATAAGTATTTTCTCTATATTTTTATCTCCACCAGTCTTAAGTAAATTCAGAAATGCCATCCGACCTCAAGGACAATTACTTCTTCTCGTCAAGTTTTGCCTTAGAAGAAAATAGCCACAAAGGCTTCTTTTATTTACAAAATATGCATATTTAAAGTTTGGTTGCATTGCATTTGCATATATATACCGCACCTTTAAAGTACATTGCTTTGCGAAGCATCAGAGGCGCTTAGTGAACTGTTATTTCGGGACTTGCAATTACATAGTAGGCACCATTTTTTTGCGTGTTATTTTGGATTGTTAAATAAAGAATGTGTTCTTTTGACCTATTGCAGTGCTTCAGGATGATCCAGAATTATTTTTTCATGAATCAATCTCGATGATTAAAATGAACACAGGTGGGGAAATTGATTTGGACTGCCAGATGCCCATTACTGGATCTGTAGGCAGCGGGAGAACGGGCCCAGGCACTGGTTTCACTGATAATATATTCAATGTCCTTTCCTCTGTGGTCACGGCCAGCTGAGCCATTAATATTACACAATCACACCAATGGCTCTGATCAATTATTCAATCTCTCGTATGGCTCTGTCAAATTCCATGCAATTCATCTGGTTGTGATTTTTAAAAATGAAACAGCAAGTATCCACCATTTCTACTTCCAACTGGAACAAAATATAAAAATCCTGGTTGGATGAAACAGCAACAGCAGAAATCAGCGCACCTGCCTCCTGCCTTCTGCCTCCGTGTCAATATAAATATGTCCGCTGTCATCAGAAACATTTCCAAGGAGGCTGTTTCTCCATCATTGTCTTCATTTGAAGGGCATTTTTCTGCCCAAAGGCAAACGCCTAACACACTTCCTGAGCGTGGCGCCCATCCCCTCTCAGTGCAGCAGACAGGAGAGGGAGGGAAATAAAGCCTTCGTCTCAAAGCAGACCTCACACTGGGTTCTGTCACTACAGATCAAAATCCCCTCAAAGCCATAGATCACTTCCACTGCAGTTCACATGTTCCACACTTAGAAACTGTTTACCAGCCTCAAAGAGTTCGTCCGCCACACACACACACACACACACACACACACACACACACACACACACACACACACACACACACACACACACACACACACACACACACACACACACACACACACACACACACACACACACACACACACACACACACACACACACACACACACACACACACACACACACACACACACACACACACACACACACACACACACACACACACACACACACACCTTAAACATTTATATGGGTTGAGAGGATGCTCACTGCATACATCTAAATGGCAAAACAGCGCTCAGCCAAGTAAACTGACATGGTGCCAGCTCTGCCTATAAGTGACAAACAGAGGACTGTCTGCTCCTTTCTCTTGTGGAAATACCTGTCAGAGCCTGTCGACTACTCTCACACACAATGATACATACACACATACCAATGGAAGACAGCCTGTCTCCTGAAAATTCCTCTAACGTGAGGATTCAGAGCCAATAAAAGCCATCATAGTCTAGTTGGCAGCTCATAGAGTCCTGTTGTGAACCCGGATATGTTGAGTACCTCATAGTTTTATGTTAGAAATGTATAGTAAGGGTCCCCAGCACATAGAAACTGCCGGATGCTAACTTGCATATGTTGAGCAATTTGCACAATAAGCATAAGTTGGGCTTTAAATAGCTTTAAATTGCATTATAACCTATGCAGACAGTAGTTTAAAAATGGCTTGGTGAATTTGGACAATCCTGGAGTGGTTTTGTGGGTTATTGAGGATGATGAATGCAGTTCGGACATTTAAAAGGGTCCAAAATAGTAGTTTTAACCAGAAAGAGGCCATATTTGTGGTCCCTTGGGGTATATTTTTATGAAGTTTTGTTCGATTATGAAGTTTTAAGGGACTCTGGATCGTTTGGTTTGGACAGATTGCTTATTTATTTGAAAAACAAGATGTCCAAAGTTGAGGTTATAATGTTTATCTTGTGCTCTCAATTTCAACACTGCTCATGGTAGTCAAAATCAGCCCACCGAGAGTACAAATATGGCCATTTTCTGGTTAAAACTGCCAATGTTGATGTCAGAAATACATTCAGCATCCCCACCACTGCCCAAAACCACTCCAGAAATGTCTAAAACCTATTGTCCACATAGGCTATAATGCAATGTTATGTTAATTAAAGCAATTCACGCTAATGGCTGTTTCTGTGTACTGGGGAGCATTTTTTTCTATGTGGTGTGGACCCAGTTCTAACTAAAACTTTGAGGTACTCAACATTTCCAGGTTCAGAATGCTGCATGGCAACCTGACTATCACACGGGCCTGCGGGTTAAGTGACATCCCTATATGTGCTTACCGGCGCCTACGTTGGGCCTGTGAGTGCGGCTTACACCACCGCATTGTGGCGCAGGGAGGAAACCTGTCTTTGGAAAGTCCTCTGCATGAGAGAGAAACGTCCCCTCGTCTTAGATAAGGGGGACGATGAGAGATAGCGATAAAGTCAGTGCTTCTCCTGGGCTTTATCTGATGCTGTTATCTGACTGCACAGCACCCACCATCTCACAATCTTTACACCCTTTAAGCACCTCTCTGAAACACTCACACCGGCATCCTCACACACACACACACATGAGCGCTCAAACATTCTAAACACCGTACCAGCTTATTGATTACTTTGACACACTCCCATTGTTGAGCAGATGGTACACCCAATATCATGTAAGATTGGAACTGTTCTGTGTTATCTCATGGGGAAAGGACATAAAATGACTATTTTCTCACCTTTCAGAAAAAAAAAATGGAGGTTTGGGGGAAAAGAGTTGTGCACTTACCTCTATGTCTGTTAGTTGTCTTATCGAACATAAGCATGGCGTCGTCCACCTGGAAGACATAAAGAAAGCACTGATTAGCTTAATCTTTTCAAGCAAGAAACTCACGTCACCAACAGCTCATTCTTCTCACTGTAATTATTCTTAGAATATACAGTCTTGCTGTTTTTCAATCTCTCCTTCAAAATAACTCTGCGTTCACTGGATTATGTCAGGTTTTCCTCTTTCGTCTGCAAGTCATTTCTTTAAAGGAATTTTAAGCAATCATTTTTGACTCTGTTGGCAAAGATGCAAGTGGCAATAAGGACAGGCAGTGGAGAAATTGAGAGGTGTGTGGACAATATGTTTATTTTGATGAACACCAATGTCCGGTGCTGTGGAGAGTGACAGATAGACACATTACAGTAAGCGAGCGTGAGACAAATGGGATCCTTCCCTCAACTGGCGGCGGCGGCAGCATCCACCATAATATCATCCCTCATCATGTCCAATAAAGCCACACACAGACAGACAGCATCTTTTCCCTTCACACGTCCCTGAGAAACGGATCTCTAGACACACTCTGCTTTCTATAACTCTGAAAAATGCTTAAAAAACTGAGTGAGGCATGCTCATTTAGACTGGGAGAAAAATATAAACAAAAAAAGAGGGGAAGAAAGCAGCAGCAGACAGAAACAAAGAGGGAACACTCTGCACTATTCACTCTCTGGTTCTGGTCTCTAGGTGAGTGTAGCGGTGTACCGAGGAGGCTTGATGCCGTTCAGGGGGAAAGATGTGCACACAAGCATGCGCCTGTGTTTTTTCACGGGAGGGTGACGAAGCTTCGGGAGGAGATGGGAAGAGACAAGAATAGGGGTCTCACTCAAGCCGAACTGTCTGATTGGATAAAGAGAAGTGCCTGGCAGCCAGGCAGACTAGCGCTGGCACACTGTTCCCGCCACCCTCTTGCCACACATTTGGCACACAAGACGTTGGCACAGCTTGCAGGGCCCGGTTACTCACTGCACGGCTCAGGGGCCACATGCGGCTCCCGGGCACTTTGTTGACTTTTTGTTGAAAAACAATGTATACATACACCTATAGGTAAATACATTTAAAAAATGATTTGGTTGAAATACAAGACAAAGTTTTTCTAAAACTAAAATGTAGGATACAAATGAAAGGATTGACTAAGGGTTAGGAGGCTTTATTGCAAGATAAAACACCTTCCAACCCCTAGATTCCACCGGGTCCGTCTGCGCCACGTTACGGCCGCGGCTGGTCTATTTTCGACGCGACGCGAGGCGTTGCTTAGCGCTGGGCAGGAAGTGGAACGGTCAGAGCATCCAGTCAATCCCCAAAATAAACACATTTTGCAGACCCTATCCCTCCGTAGTCTTTCAAGTAGGAGAATAAATGCCAGCGTTCTCCTCCGGTTTACAGGTACTGTGTAAATTATATATATTTCATTTCAATCTTTATTTCGAACAGATTAAAAAAATAACAAATAAAAAATAACAAATGTGAAAAACAGAATACCGTATTGTTAAAATACAGTATTTATCCTGTATTTTAACAATACGGTATTCTGTTTTTCACATTTGTTATTTTTTATTTAAAAAAAAAAATGCATTTTTTATTATATAGAATAATTATGATGATGAATGCATTTTTTTACCACTAAAATACAGCAACACATCTTTGATTCATGTCGTTTATAACTGGACTGTTACAATTATTATTAACTTTGTCTGTACAAAGTAGCCTGTCCAGGAAATATGCCAAAATCAACAAAAACTGCGAGCCGGCACGCAAGACGCTCCGCTTCTGAAACGCGCCCGGTTGGGTATGACGCTGGAGGAGGTCGGACCAAAACCGCGGCGCAGCCGTAACGCGGCGCAGACGGACCCGGTGGAATCCCGGGGTAAGGTTGTCACTATAAGACAGTGTCAGTGTGACTGTTGTTTCTCCTATCTACTAATGAAGGCTACAAACAAACAAACAAACTATCTACTAGTAGATGTTACACAAATAAAATCCTTCTTCCCTTGTCATAGCATTTCTAAGACTTTGGAAATATTGACTCAATGTTGGACGCGATATTACTGGCAGCAACAGTTGTTCACAACATACACCTAAATTGTCTTTGGACCTAACCTTTTGTGTTATCCATTAAAGTGAGAGAAAGTAGGGTAACTTGATTTTGTAAAGCAGTGGGCTGTGATTTTATTGAATGAGTTTGAAGAACACAGTAACTTCTGGTTATTCTTTATTTTCTGCAGTTCAGTTATTTTGCTGTTACATGGAGTACTTAGACAGATTATAACTCTTTTCAGGAACTAAATAATAAAAATATTTTTAGTTTTTGCTGGAATTCCGCTCTTCAAACCAGAAACAGTTAATAACGTCTCCACATCTGACAGCATGAAAGCTCCAAAGAGATGGAACAGCATGTTTACTATTTATGGTAAAACGTTTAATTTGACAAGTGTGGCTGACAGTCTGTGATCACTTACCAGGGAGACGGAAATTAATAGCATTTTACTTCTGTCATGTAATATCATAAATAGCAAAACCCCCCAAAAAGTAATAGTGGCGGCATTCAACGCTAGAAGTGCTGAGAAAACGAAAATATTCAGTTTTTCAGAAAAATGAAGGTGCTCTCTTGAAATACAACTGTTGTGACAGAGATTGATTAGCGCCAATTTTGTGAAGCCTACTCTGTGATTTGGCGAGATGAAACTCATCAAAATGTAAAATCGTACCCACAGGCACCTGCAAAGATGATGGACGCAACATAACACTGTTTATGACGTGTAATACGTTTGTTTGGTTAGGTAGCTAACTATAATCATTGCATTGATGCTATCAAGGCAAACAAGTAAGAGCATAACATTCACAAATTCTGTGTTTGAGACATGGATTTGCTTGTTGTCTCTCTTAATGTACATCTGGAGTTATACGTTTTAAATATGTGACCTGCTCCATCGAAATCAGTCGCATTGACCCGAAGACACACTTTGAGTTGTATACACTGTTGGAAAGAGGAGATTCCTAGCTTTCTAATGATATCAAGATTGTTTTTGTACTCCAAATATTAAGCAAAATATGTCACATTATATAATGACTGTCACCGAGTCATCATTTTGAGAAAAAGGCCTTTAAAGTTTCCTCTTCTCTGGAATCCATTGATCTGATTGATTATTAGCGGAGCAAATGATCAAAATACTACGGAGGGAAGATATTTTCGTTTGGATTACTGGTCTGGGGGAAGCTCGCGAGTGTGTGTGTGTGTGTGTATACGTGTGTGTGTGTTTGTGTAATTTTGCGTTTGTGTGTATTGTGTTTGTTTCCCGGGGAAAACACTCACGAGAAACACCGGATGTTGTTATGCTTGCTGTGACGTCAAGTTATTCGGTTCTCCGCTTGTAATTATGCCGTTACAAGCTTCAAAGTTGTATTTATCATCTGAATTTGCCGAAACAAGTTTAATATTCTGAAAGCCAAGACTTTGTTTATTTGAAATCAGATGAAAACAAACTGTAACGGACCCTGCCGTGTTATCTATGATTACTATATGCCTTACATTCATAATGTCAGCGGGAGGGAGGGGGAGCTGCGCTGCGGAACAGCAGAGTGGCGAGTGAGAGGAGCCTTTCATCTTCCCTTTACAAGCTTCAAACATGTATTTATCGTGTGATTTTGGAAATAAAAGTTTCATATTCTGAAAGCCAAGACTTTGTTTGTTTAAAATCAAACAAAACACAGAAAAACTATTTTTTTACACAAATCCACGTTTATTTTTGAAATGAGCCGTTGCGACTTCCGATTGATTTCGATAGAGCGGGTCACATATTATAAATACACTAATCATAACGGATGACATTTTTTATTTTAAGTTTAGTACTTTATATCTAGAATAGACCTGTTCTAATTGTTTTTGAAATGGTGTACTGTTTCTGTAAGAGAGCGATCCTTAGCACATGTTGTCAGTCACGCTGTTGATTCTAAGCTAGAGTAGCTGTGGGGGCGCACGGTTTTCTTCTGTCCATTCATTTTTAGATTCATCCCGCAAAGCAAACTGTGGATTTACCTGTGACACAAGTTGATTGTGTTTTATAAACTCTATAATGGACCTCAAATGGATTTTGTAAAACAACATCATCATTTTCTAAATGGGGTTTAATGCTATATTTACACCTTTGCTTTGGTTTATATGGTGCATACAGTACATAGACAAAGAAAGAGGGACAAGTTGCAAAAAAGTAGCACCAAATTGCACAATTATAAAAACAATTTGCAAGACGATTATAAAAAATGAAAAATAAAGAAAAATATTTACACAAAATATCAATAGACAAAGAACAAAGAACTATGTAGTGTAAAAATATGATATATTTTGTATCAAATGGAGAGCTTTTGTATCAGTGTAAGATATACTTTATTTATCTGGGGGAATATTTGGTGACAGTTGTTCCTTTTAGATTTTTTTATAAAAAAAAAAAAGGAATATACATATTCGAAGTTAAAATGTGCAGTAAAAAGATAACATATCTAAAAATAAGAATTTAAATAATAAAATAAAAAGTAAAATATATTCATATAAACATTTTCAAATTGTAAAAACGTTTAAATTGTCAAATTAAATATAAAATTAAATAATGAAATATTATATAAACATAGGAAATAATGCAAATATACTAAACAGTATGAGTCGCCCTGCAGCTGAGCGACTCATTCACGCTTTCATCTCCTCCCGCCTTGACTATTGTAATTCACTTCTCTACGGCATCAGCTCTACATCCCTCAATAGATTCCAGCGCCCCCAGACTCCTCACCCACACCAAATCATGGCCTCACATCACCCCGGTCCTCAAAGAACTCCACTGGCTTCCCGTCTCTCACCGCATCCACTACAAACTCCTGGTCCTCACTTACAAAGCCCTCCACCATCTGCACCCCCGCCCCCCTACCTCACTGACCTCCTCATCCTCTACCATCCTCCCCGGACCCTCAGATCCACCTCAGCCGGTTTGCTTTCCACCCCCAAGGCCAAACTCCGGAGCCTTGGGG